CAGAGAGCATCGACGACACTGTCGGCAAACCGCTCTGGACGGCCACTCGAGTGGATGCCTTGGACCAGCTAAGGACCCGGAAGTCTTGCAAATGGGGTTATTTAGTTAATGCAAGCCCTAAACCCTTAAACCAGCGAATTATAAGACCCTTTAATGTTGTCGATGTGCGTTTCAGCTTTTTCCTGGTGCGTTTCAGGTGCGTTTCAGCTTTTTCTTAGGGTTTTGGGTATCTTTTGTGAGGGATGGCAGTTCTTCCTTGCAGGACGGCCCGAGGGTATCGCAGATCGTCGCACGGCTGCCAGGAAGCCATTTTGGATGCGGGTGGACAGGCAGGCCCATCGATCGCTGCGGCTCTCGTGGCTCAGAGCCATTTCGCCTCGGGCTCGGGGGCGGCCGAGACGAAACGAAACAGGGAACGACCCTCGAAGTTCCTTGAAGCCGAGCGTTTGTCCTACGTCGCTGCTGGTCGCTCGGTTTTGGCACAGGCTCCCGTTCTCAGCGTCGTCGCTGATGCTGTTCACGTGGGACAGGAGGACTGGCTGAACGTTTTCCTCTGCGACACAAGCGAGGACGTGTCTTTCCTTTGCCCGCCACAGGCAGACTGAGAGGGTTGGACAATGCTTTTGGGAGGCGTATTTTGGCAAATTTCTGCAGTAAATGGGCCCTCATAAAACCATACAGTAAACCGCGCCTAAGGTCGACCATACAGCAAACCGCGCCTAAGAAACCATACAGTAAACCGCGCCTAAAAAACCATACAGTAAACCCTGCCTTTTTCGCTTTTCGCCAGGGTCCCGGTTTTGCCAGGTCCCCGCCATTCCCTTCTAGCAAGAGGCCAGGGCTCCCAGCCAAAACCATACAGCAAACCGCGCCTAGCAAAACCATACACTAAACCGAGCCTAAGGAATCCCCGGCACAACCATACTTCAAACCGCGCCTAATTTTTGTATAGCAAAACGAGTCCATTTTTGGCCAAAAATGGACTCTTTTTTGGCCTTCCGGGTATGAGGTCGGAGAAGGTTTTCACAGCATCCAAGCTTTGTGTCCTGACTGCAACTTCTGATCACAAAGGGAGCACAATCCTGCAAACCAACAGCAGTGCCGTAAGGTATGTATCGTCAATTGTAAGGCAGTAGAGTCTATGTGTGCTTTTTTTGCGGGCAAAGTATCCAGCTGCTGTTGTTGCTTTGGGATTCCTAGCCCTTTAGAGAAGCAATTCAGAGCCCTTAGGAACTCTTCCTGTAGCAACACTTCTCTCCGGGGCCCCAAGCCTGAATCTCTATAGAGTTTGGAGTCAAAGTTTTGCCTGTGACAGGTGAAGAAAGGGACGGCCATCACGTCGGACGACTGGACGGACATGTGGCAGGGCCGCATCACGAAGTTCTTCAAGAAGGCCGGCTCCAAAGGTCGCTCGGCAGCGAAGACCACAGGCGGCTACAAGGAGCCGGAGAGGCTGGCCACTCAGGAGTGGCTCCGAGACATGTCCCACAGCCTCGCGGTCGTTGGCTGGGGCTTTTCGTCCTTCCGACGGACGAGCGAGGCAGGCCGGCCGAGGGTCTTGATCCTCTGCACGGATCAGGAGGCCATTCAGTTGGCGGCCGTGAACTACTTGAAGTTCGGCCGTTCGCTGTTCGTGGAGCACGTCAACGACCCGGCTCACCGTTCCCACAACGACGTGAACCTCGCGATGGCGGCGGCCGGTCTGCTGACGTTCGGCCTCGTGTCCATCGGCCTCTACAACGTTCGCTACGGCCCATGGAACAAGGGCACGTGGTTCGGCAAGGTCCAGACGATGGCGGACGAGATGAGTCGTTCGATGAGCCCTTCGGATCCGTTGCTGCTGACTTTCTTTCCGGACATTCTGGAGGACCAAGGCCGTTCGCAAGAGGACAACAACGAGGCCGAGCGACGTGCTTTTCTGGAGAGCCTGCCAAACAGGTCGTTCGTGAGAAGCAAGGGCAGCAAGGCCTCGCAGTCTCGCTTCAACAGTCTCTCGCAGGCCCATGCGGAGCTCGACGGCGACTGGTCGGCCTTTTGCCTCGTGCTGGTCGCTCTCTGCGTGGCCGAGGGCTGGTGCACGACGGCGTCCCAGTTGTGGTCGCCCTCCGCTGGCATGGCCGAGACGACGACGGCCGCCACGACCAGGGCAGCCGCCAAGTCGGCCGCTCGCAAGGCTCTGCAGCAGCAGAGGGGTCGTTCGGTGAACGTCTTGCACGGGATGACGATGTTCGCCTGCAACCAAGACAATCGGTCGCTGGCCAGGTCCGTGTTTTTCGTGCTTCAACCGGAGAACGTTCGGTGCAGCACGATGCTCGCAGACCTTCGGGCGGCCGAGGCCACCGTGAGCCAGTATGCCAACTGGGCTCACTGGCAGTACATGGAGGTCGCTCGCGAGCATGTCGCCAAGCTGTCCAACCTGGCCGCTCTGAAGCGGATCGGCCTTGACATGTCCTTCGAGCTGCCAAAGGAGGAGGTTCGAGAGGACTCGCTGGCGTGGCAGGATGCAGTCGCTCACAGAGTCGTTCGCCTGACACACCGTCTCTTGCGATATCGTTGCGGCAGCCAGCTAGGGTCCACGAACGGCTGGGGAGCATCGGCCGGCTTGCTGCACGAGTCTGCCGCCCTTCGACAGTCCAGCCTTCGCTTTCTGGAAGAGGTGGATCGCACGGTCAAGCGTGTGCAGGCCGAGGGGTCGTTGGAAGCGAAGCTCCTCTTGGACGGCCACTCTGCCACGGCGCCCGTGATGGCCATGTTGCTGTCCGAGTTGCGGGAGGTTCCGCCGGGGACGTTCGAGTGGCTTCGCCGTTCGTGGAGCGGCCTGCTGAACTCGAAGCTCGTGGAGGACGCCAACAAGGTCCAACGTGAGGCCGAGCAGCGGAATGGCACTTCGAAGACGTTGGGTCGTTTGGAGGGCTGGCACGGTCTCTCGAGAAAGAAGCTCCTGGAGCAGTATCACAGGAGAGAGGTGCCGAGTGGCCGGATGGCGACCGTGCCCGAGGCCGACCCGTGGTTCGTGCGGCCTCAGCGGCTCCGCACGGACCCGGGCAGTTCGTCGGCCGCCGTTCGCGACCTTCTGAAGGGCGTTAGCCAAGCGAGGACGTGGGCCTCTCCCACACCTGAGTCGGAACAGGACAAGCTGGCTGGGTTCTCGCTGCTCACCAAGGTCGTTCGGCAGAACATGGACTGGTCCTTCGTGGAGAAGGGATGGTGGGCAGCCTTGGCTCCCGAGGGACATGCCTTGCAGTTTCCGACTGGACCACCGTTGTACGTGGTTCGCAGCTACAAGCGAGCGGCTCTCGTCTGGCCCGGCAAGTTGCAGACTTCCCCTGCCGGAGACATCGTCGGCCTGGACCTGGAGAACCCACAGGTCGGATGGGTGCACCTTTTCGACGAGGCCGTGGACGTTCTGGACTTGGCTGCGACCTCGCCACAACGTGGCCTGGCCCGCAAATCTCTGGTTCCGTAGTAAATATTCACTTAGGCTATAGCTTCCTAAATCCTAAACCCCAAAATCCAGCACAGGGAACCCTTTAGAGTCGTTTATGTGCGTTTCAGCATTTTCTAGGTGCGTTTCAGGTGCGTTTCAGCTTTTTCGTAGGGTTTTCTATACATTCTCGATATTTTAGAGTTTACCCACGGCGTGACAGCAACGAGCAGAATCACCCGAATGTAAGCTGCAGTCAAAAAGCGCATTCTCCGCCAGGTCTCGTGTCTCTCGGTGAGACCCGGGCCATGGGAGTTGTCTTTCGGGTGCAGGCCCGATGTTCCTTGCTTCAGCACCACGAGAAGTTCGGCTTCGCAGGCGTTCCGGAGTGGGGTCTGCGACGACTCGCAGAGGTGAAGGGATGGCCGGCCGAAGCTGAGGAGACTGGCCACGAGGAGGACGACCGCCTCGCCGTGGTGTGCCTCTTGTTTCTCCAGCCAACTCTGACGAAGGACGACGTGGTCAATCGTCTCCTGTTTCGCCAGGACGTGGCCTCGTGGTCGGGCGAGTTTGGGGAGCTCGATCTGACAGAGGTCGTGCGAGACACAATGTTGGCGGCCGACCAGGACGTCGCCCTCCAACAACTTGCGAAGCGGAAAGCCGCTCGCGAGACTGCCGTGGAGATCCGGAAGCGGGTCTCGGGGACTTTCGAGGCCGTCGCCAAGACCTTTGCCAGCCGACCCGAGTACAAAAAGGCAGCGGCAGCTCGAAAGGCCAAAGAGAAGCAGGCATCGCAGCAGCAGAAGGACCATGCCGCTGCGATCAAGCGGTGCTATGCCGCCCTCAGCTCGGACATCGACAAAGTCGTGAAGGTCGGCGTTCCCACAGCCGTCCGAGTGTATCGGGACGACTACAACGGCCGCTGGCGTCTCACGTACAGGACTGTCTGGGCTCAGGTCACTCGCAGCATTTCGTGGACTGCCGTGGGCAGTAGGAATGCCGCAGCGGAAGCCGTTCGCCAAGGCTGGCAGTGGGCGGAGACATTCGACGGCCTGCCGATGCCGGAGGAGGCAGCAGGCCTGTTGCAGAAGTTGGCGGCTTGAGGCCCGTGCGATGGCAGAGAAGGACGTTCCAGAATCCACTGGGCTTTTCGGTAGTTTCACTGCGGAGTAAAGCGGCCGTCCGAGCAACGAGTGCAGAGCTTGCAGAAACGGCGTTTTGTCCTGCTTGCTGTAGCGAAAGCCAGAGTTCTTGAGAAGACGTCTTCCACAAGAAAGCCTTGCTTCGCCCAGGTCATCGCAGTTCCGTTCAAGCTCCGGCCGTTCCTGCTCTCTCTTCCAAGCACGAGGCCGCCACTCCGGGAACTTTCGCTTCGCTGTGTGGGAGTGAGCCGTTGCAGTTAACTTCTGTAAGTTTTTTCAGGGTATGGGGTTTACAGGAGGTTCGTCTGCAAACAAGTCTTGGGCCGTCACACTTGCAGCAGCAGAAGCAGTAGCAGCAGTTCTTGTTCGCTCTACCCTGTTTTTCTGCAGCGTCTTCTTTTCAAACCTCGTCTAGTCACTATAGGGGAAGCACCATGGGACGGGCCACTTTGGCGGAGACAGGTGGCGAAAGGTCCGCAAGCGCCTGGGCCCTGTTTAACTCGTGGGTCGCTCGGGAAGGCCTGACGGTCTCTCGGGCTGCGAAGTTCCGCATTCGCGGGAAGCGGATGCTCCGGGAGAAGGCAGCGATGAAGCTCAAGTGGATCCTGGGATTGTTTTATTTAGTTAGCAGATACGGCCAAACATTGACTAAACCAGGATATCTTTATATTGCTTTGGATGGTTTAGGGAGGTGTTTAAAGTTCCAAGTCAGTTTCACACCTTCGCAAAGCCTCCACTTGAAGCCCTCTTGGCCTACTAAAGTTTATACCCTAAACCACAAAACCGAACCTTTAGAACCCTTTCAGTAGCTCTATGTGCGTTTCAGATTTTTCCAGGTGCATTTCAGGTGTTTTTCAGCTTTTTCCTAAGGATTTTATACAGTTGCAAGGAGTGGGCTTTTCAAACGACAGGCTTCAGACCCAAGGAGGCCCAAGGTTGGCTTTTGAAACTGTTGCATCGGCCGATAGGGTTGCACTAAGACTACTAGGGAAGTCCTCCGAAGATTTTGGCCCACATTGCACCTAGAACCAATTGAAGGTTCCCCATAGCCAGCAAGCTTGAGCAGCCTTAGCAAATCTAGTGAGCAAGGGCCCTACTACTTTCCCCTTGCCGTCGCACACAGTTTAAAGCTTTCCGAGAATCAACCTCCCTTGCACTGAGGAACCACCGAAAAAGCAAGGACATTCGGGAGAAGTTCGCGGCACTCGCTCAGGCGAAGTACGAGGCCAACCGAAAGAAGGCCGAGGCTTACAGAAAGGCCCAGTCGTTCGGCGATGTTTCGCCGCAAGTCGCTGCCGACGAGGCCGAGGTCGTTCGAAAAGCAGAAGCCGAAGCCCACCTGGATGCTGACCTTGCCGTTCGGGAAGTGCAGGCGGACACCTGGACCTGGACTTTGGGTCGTTCGCTTCGTGACTTCAAGCCGGTCGGCCGTGGGGCGAGCGGTGAGGTCTTCTTCGCCACCTTCGAAGGCCTTCCGGTTGCAGTGAAGCTGACAAAAGGTCGGGGGCTGCAAGCGGCAGCAACCGGCATCGACGTTCAGGAGGAGTTCGCCGTTTTGACGGCCCTGGGGCAGCACCCCAACGTCGTTCGAGCTTTCGCCGTTGTCACGAGCTCGCTGGGCCGGCCGGGCTTGGTTCTCGAGAGGGCGTCTGAGAGCCTGCATGCGAAAGCTCGCAGGCTCAAGGACGATCGGCCGGCAGGGCCTCGCTGCTGGGACTTTTTTCGCAGTTCGTCCTCGGCCTGTCCTTCGTGCACGGGCGTTCGGTCATGCATCTCGATGTGAAGCCCGCCAACATTCTCGTGTTCGATGCAGAGGGGGTCTCCGAGAACGGTTGCTCTGTGGTGGGCGATCGTGTGTACACCCTGGACTTTCGCTGCCCGGAGTGCCTCATGGCCGGCGGCCAAAAGGCATGGGTTGCTGGCGTAGCTATATCCCTGGAATCCTTAAAACGTAGGCTCAAAGTTTCTTTTCTGATCCCTGCAGTATCTTTAAGCAGTGCCTCTGCCGAACCTTGCAGCTAGCCTATTTCGGACAATGTAACAGTTAATAGGAAGGCCCGAGTTTCAATCACAGAAACCCTGCCAGGTTCGTGTCAAGTTCGCCGCTGACGTCTGGGCGGCCGCAGCCACGTTGTTCGAGGTGTGCTGCCCCAGAAAAGCTTCGCTTTTCTCAGTCCCGCCGGGGACGTTCGTGCGGGAGACCGAGGAGCAGACAGCAAAGGCCATTCGGGAGATGGCCACTGCGAGGAGCTTCAAGCTGATGCCGTACGACCAGACAATGCAGGACATCCTGGAGAAGACGTTCGTGCCGGCAGAGAAGCGACTCTCGTTGCCGGGCTTGCTTCGCATCCTGGACAAAGAGCGGTCGGCCTCGCGGTCCATCGGCAGGCCCGCCTTCGGCGACTGACGTTCCTGACTGGTCGTCTTGGACGGAAGCACCAAGAGTCGTTCGAGAACAGCTTCTCGAGCACGGTTCTTGGAGACTGTCGACTCTCGGGTCTCTCGCCCGGCGGATAAAAAAGGAGTTTCTTCAGTCAAGCAGTTGCTTTCACACAGTTTGTTTCCCTACGGTCGCTAGCCACACGTCTGCAGCAGTTGCCCGAAGCCCCGTCCGCCCTTCGACAAAGTTGCTAGCCGTGCTGGGCAGGTACTCCATCGACGATGTCTTCTTCCTCTGGCAGAGCCGGCGTTCGGCGCCGGGGTCAGACCTCCGTCTGGCCCACTCCCCGACCCCTCCAAAACCCCCAGTTCAATCAGGAACTTACGTGAATTGCAGCATTTAGTTCACCTGGAATTGGAGTCCCCCAAAACCCACCGCAGAAAACAACAACTTCGGAGTGGGCATCCTTCAGGCGACATACTTTAAGTGTGAAACCCTGGCCACACCACCTTTTCCCAGCCCCTCCTCTCCTCACTGTCCTCCTAGTTCGACCATTTTTCTCCACCAGCCCGATAAGCCCCTACAGTGCAGCACAAAGCCCACTTCCCGACAAATTTCTAACACAGCAAAAACAATCCTTAACCCTTTGCGCCGAACCAGAACCACAGGGTTTAGATCAACAAGGCTTATATGAAAGGAACCCAAAATCTCATTTTTGTATGTGGTTGGCTTTATTTGTGTTTAAAAGTGTTTTTTTGTATTTAAAAGTATTGTTTTGTATTTAAAAGTTTTTTAAATAGGTTTTTTTTGTGTTTTACAGTTGTTAAAATTCTTTTATTTTATTTTTGGTGTAAAAATACATGTTTGTGAATTTTGTTTCTGAGTGAGTCAATTGGCTTCCTGTTGTTCTACCTGGTTTCCTGCTGCTGTATGTCTACAAAATTGTTGTTTATTTGTTGTTGAAGTTAATATTTTTTAATATTTAATCTTTTTAAATAGTTTTGGGTTGTGATTGAATAAGAAGGGAGGCCGTAGTGACATGTTGACTTGCCTTGAGATCTTGCCCTTACCCACGCGGATCGACTGCCCTTCTCGGTTCGTGGGCACCGTTGGCCGGGTGTCAGGTGTTGAGTCGATGGTACCTGGACCGCCTTGGGGCCAACGTGCCAGGGCAGTGGCATATGACACCCGGGCACATGGGCTAAAGTGCCGGGTGGGGTGGTCCAGTGGGTGTTGTTCGCAATCTGCTTACAGCCCTGAAGGGGAAGCCATCCATGCTTGTCACGTTAGTGAGCCTTGCGACTTGGAGCGACAGAGGCAGAGTGCCACCTTACCCACACGGATCGACTGCCCATCTCGGTTCGTGGACACCGTTGGCCGGGTGTCAGGTGTTGTCGATGGTACCTGGACCGCCTTGTGGCCAACGTGCCAGGGCAGTGGCATATGACACCCGGGCACATGGGCTAAAGTGCTGGGTGGGGTGGTCCAGTGGTTGTGGCTTTTTTATTTTTCTCCCAACCAGGAGGGGAGGCCATCCATGCTTGTCACGTTAGTTAGGGAGCCTTGCGACTTGGATCGACAGAGGCAGAGTGCCAGTCGAGCCTCTCGAGGTTGCCTTACTTAAGTCCCTGCCCCATCGGGGTTGCTCCCCACACCGTTGGCCAGGTCTAAGTGTTCGGTTTGAATCCAAGCCTAGTGAACGCCTTCTCTTCCATTTCCTTCTCTCCCATCGGTCTTCATCGGCTTCCAGCCCATCGAGAAGTGGATGCCAACTGCTGGGATCTCAGCATCAGCTTGCTTCAGCTACTTCCATTATTATGGTACAGTCCTGGCACCGAGGCTCATGACGAGGATCCTGAGGACATGCTGCCATCGCAGAGGACAAGCTGCCTTGCATAGTCAGTGAGCGTGTCATGTATCGCAACTTGCCGCTGCAGCAGTTGTGCTCGCTGTTGCCCTGCGTAATCTACTATAGTCGTGTTACAGCTGCTCTGTCTCAAGTCTAAGTCGTAGTAGGCCCCCCTGCAAGCCGGCAGATGTCGTCGACGTCGTGGAGTGACAGTGAGTCTGTGGGCTCGGACTGGGTTCTGGTTGACGATGAGGGTGCAAGCACTGCGGGCTCGGTCGCGGACAGTTTTGACGACGATGATTCTGTGATTCCGTTCGACACGATGCTAGAGGAGTGCTTTACGACATTCTGGATGTTTCTGAATTCTCAAGAGCGTGGGCAAGTCTTGCAAGTAGCCTGGTCTGTCAATGAGCAGATCATGTTCACACTCTTTCCGAGACTTCGGCGGGATTTTCGGCAAGGCAGAGTGCCAGGAATTTTATATTACAATGTGTCAGACGAATTTCTGGCGTTACTGCTTCAATGATTTGTCGTGTTTGTACAGCCTCCGAGACCGTATTACGGATGTTGGGGAAGGCAGAGTGCCGGGTTTGCGTGTGTTTAGAGGATTTTGAATTCGACGATCTCGCCAGCAGAGCTAGACTGTCCGATTTGAGACCTCAGCGGTAGTGTGCGCAACTTGGATTCAAAACGGTTACCCAGCATGACATGCTGACTACACAGTGCCGGGTGGCAGTGATGTCCTCAGGACCCTGCTGTCTCCGAGGCTGGCTGCCTGCCTGCCTGCCTGCATAGTCTGTCAGTGAGTTGCCTTGCACCATACATGATCGACATCTGTCTGCCGGCCAGGGAATCAAGTGATTCATTCATACTGATGTAACAGTAGTAACACAATGTTACATATCATTGATTAATGTACTGTATAGTGATGCATTAGTCACTGTTAATGTTTTAATCTTTGGACAATTGAAGTGTGCTCGATGAAAGCAGTGATCCCGACGACCTGCTCTGTCTCTAGTCTAAGTCGTAGTAGGCCTCCGTGCAAGCCGGCAGATGTCGTCGACGTCGTGGAGTGACAGTGAGTCTCTGGGCTCGGTCTCGGACTTATTGGCTGTTGGCGAGTTTGCAAGCACTGCGGCGTTTGGGGGTTCGTTTGTGGGCTCGGTCGCGGACAGTTTTGACGACGATGATTATGTGATTTATTTCGACGAGCTGCTAGAGGAGTCCTTTTCGACATTGTGGATGTTTCTGAATTCTGAAGAGCGTGGGCAAGTCTTGCAAGTAGACTGGCATATCAATGACATGATCCTGTGCGTACTCGTTCCGAGATTTGTGCGGCAAGGCAGAGTGCCAGGAATTTTACATTACAATGTGTCAGACGAATTTGTGTCGTCACTGAATCAATGATTTGTCGTGTTTGTACAGCCTCCGAGACCGTATTACGGATGTTGGGGAAGGCAGAGTGCCGGGTTTGCGTGTGCTTAGAGGATTTTGAATTCGACGATCTCGCCAGCAGAGCTAGACTGTCCGATTTGAGACCTCAGCGGTAGTGTGCGCAACTTGGATTCAAAAAGGTTACCCAGCATGACATGCTGACTACACAGTGCCGGGTGGCAGTGATGTCCTCAGGACCCTGCTGTCTCCGAGGCTGGCTGCCTGCCTGCCTGCCTGCATAGTCTGTCAGTGAGTTGCCTTGCACCATACATGATCGACATCTGCCGGCCAGGGAATCAAGTGATTCATTCATACTGATGTAACAGTAGTAACACAATGTTACATATCATTGGTTAATGTACTGTATAGTGATGCATTAGTCACTGTTAATGTTTTAATCGTTGGACAATTGGGTGCTCGATGAAAGCAGTGATGCCGACGACCGTTTCAAGGTGCTCAGGGAGTTCCGAGGCAGAGTGCCAGACTTCTGCTGCTGACCATCAGAATCAGGCCAATCACATTGACCTTGGCAGTGATTACTGGAACGAAGCCGTGCAACAACTTCGGTGGAATTGTTTACACTGTGGCAGATCAGCTGCCGACTATACCACCGGGCTCCGAAAGATCCAAAGGGCTGCACAATTGGATCAACGAATCAAATTGGCAGTTGAGGCCATCTCAGATTTCGGAGATATGGATATGAAGTTGTACAAAGCATGGACCGGCCAGACAGATGTGCTGCCTGGGTCGATCCCGCCACCTCGGCCATGCCAGCATGATGTCGAGACGTGGCCCATGGATGATGTTTTGATTTACGACCATCCCCAGTGGCAACTGTTTGTTGGCAGTATTGGTTGCCCGATCCGATATGACCAGCTCCGGGTCAAGCCTGACATTGTCATCTCTATGAATGCAGATGACAGACCTCGGAATTTTGAGCCATGGGACTGGTATCAGTATTTGGCGAATTGTGGACCGTTTGGCACTGCACATCTTCGGTATGGTGGCTGGGATCAAACACATGCCAATGACTTTGATGCTGAACAAAGAAGTCATGAGTTCAAGACCATTTGGCGCCGCCTCATTTCAGATTTCAGAAAGATTATGATGTGCTGGCAGCGCTCAGCAGAGGAGTTCAGCCAGAGTCAAAGGCAGAGTGCCATCAAGGGCAAAATGATGGGCAAGGCCAATGGCGGCAGGGGCAAGGGCAAGACAATCAGCAAGGGCTACAGCGGCCCCTGTCAGGTTTCCAATCACATGCAAAGCCAGAAGGCATCGACGAAGGGCTCATTTGGCTATGGCTGCTCCTATGACAAGGGCTTCAGCAAGGGAAGTGACATGGGCAGCCTGTTCGGAAGAGCCGCTGATGGAAGGCAGAGTGCCGATGGAAGGCAGAGTGCCTTGAAGGTGGCCGATGAGACATTCCCTGGTGAGCTCGGTAATGCTCTTGCTTTGTTGGAGGCGATGAAGCTTCAGGGAGGTGGTCGGAAGCGTGGAGGCAAGAAGAGGCCAATTCGTGTGCTTGTCCATTGCTACGGTGGCATTAACAGGACCTGTGCTGCTTATTGTGTCCTAGTCATGGCCTTTGCCTCGATGACCATGGAACAAGCCATTGTCAGGTGGATCAACCACCGAGCCTACTATGCTCCATTCCGGGATCGTGAGTACATGATTGAAGCACTGCTGGAAATGCAGGATGAGCTGCACACGTACAGTTGATCATCGACACTGAACCCGAAGTCCA